TGAGATGCAAAGTTGCGTGTGTGACACCCTCTACCCCAACATACATATACAATAATTATAAAAATAAAATTCTTCATCATTAAAAACCAAATCTCTAACCACATAAGGGTAAAGAGTTCACATTCATAAACTTAATCCAAATAACATGTCACTGAAATTACAAAGGAATAAAATTGAGTTTTCAAATAGTTCAATGGAAACAAGATCCTAAACTAGTCCTAACTACACCCCGATGTCACATATCCTATCATAGTGTGCCCAACTGAAGCTTAAGCCTCATCACTAACATCCTCATGATGATGATCACCTGCAATACAATTTAAACAAATACAAAGAACAACAAGGGAGTGAGAAACATCTCACTCGATTTTCAGGTGTAAAAATAATAGTTAGGCAACAGACACACAAATCATAACAATCACAGCCATAGCTACACATTATTCAGGTACAAATTCAAATTGTACATACAATAGTAACACATGCACAATTATTCATCATGCAATGGTGTCATGGACTCGACTCATAAATGCATGTGGTGCCAGTCACATGTCTCATAATTACATTTCTCATATTTCATCACTGGTGACTCAAGGTACACCTTGTTAGCTTGTTACATCACTTGGTGACCCAAGGTACACCTTGTTAGCTTGATACATCACTGGTGACCCAAGGTACACCTTGTTAGGTTGTTACATCACTTGGTGACCCAATGTACATCTTGTTAGCTTGTTACATCACTGGTGACCCAAGGTACACCTTGTTAGCTTGTTACATCATTGGTGACATAAGGTACACCTTGTTAGCTTGTTACATCACTTGGTGACCCAAGGTACACCTTGTTAGCTCATATATGCACATGATGCTTGTCACACATTCACGATTTCATTGACTCAACACTTCACTTGTCACGTCTCATCATATTTCATGTTGCATTATTTAACAATATCATACAGATCATATGTTCACCTTTTACATTCTCACATCATATTCACATATACTCATACAGTAAACTTCTCTTATTTATGTACGTCAAAAGAGTACATAAATCATACCAAGAAATTCTCCAAAACATGAAGCCATCATCAATTTTACATATATTGACTCAAAATAATCCAAAGATCATATTCCTAATTTTACTTCACAGGGTTTCCCACAAGAACCCACATAGCACTCTAATTCATATCAAAACTTGTCTATTTTCAAAATTAATCACATATTCATACATCTCTCAACAAGGAACACAACAAAAGAATCAGAAAGCAAAACAGAAAACATTCACATTTTTTCTGTTTCTCACAGGGTTCTATCACGAACCCACAGAGCACTCTAATTCATATCAAAACTTATCTATTTTTTGAAATTAAACACATCTTTACACTCAACATCACACAAGGGACACAATGAGACATTCAGAAAGCAAAATAGAAAACATTCATATTTTTACTATTTCTCATAGGATTCTCTCAAGAACTCATATAGAACTCTAATTCATATCAAAACTTATCTATTTTTGAAATTAAACACATCTTTACACTCAACATCACACAAGAAACACAACGAGACATTCAGAAAGTAAAACAAAAAACATTCATATTTTTCCTATTGCTAGAAGCATGCATTAGGTAAGGGATTGGGGGCCAATCCTACTACCCAACAATTATTCCCATCCTCTGAGCGAGGTTTCTCACTCCCCCCTTACCCAGATAAGTAGAAGATAAAGCTAAAGCAGGATCTTGCTAGTCTCCTCCTCTGGGTTTCCCTTGGTCTTTAGAGAGTGTAGAAGAAAAAGAAGTCAAAAGTGAAAAATGTGCATTTGGTAGTGCTAGAGTGTGCTATTTATAGACCTCAGGAGTGGCCAGAAAAGCCTGTTCTGGACTCATTCGTCATGTGTAAAATTCACATCTAGAACGGCCGTTCTTAAACCAGAATGACCCATTCTAGGGTTGAGTTTTAACACATAATGGCTATGTTTGGAACGACCTATTCTTAAACCAGAATGGTCTGTTCCCAACTAGGGTTATAGGCCATTTTAGTAGTTTAGAACGGCCCATTCCAGTTTAGGAACGGCCCGTTCTGGGCTACTAAATGTCAAAATAATTTCTAAAATACTTTCATATAATTTATGAAAAATCAGGGTGTTACAACTCTCCCCCCTTTTTGAAATTTCGTCCCCGAAATTTACCTGAAAATAGAAAAGGGTAGACTCCTCACATCTTGCTTTCTAATTCCCATGTAGCACTTTCTTCAATATTTCCTCCCCAAAAGACCTTAACTAAAGGGATTTCCTTTCTTCTCAACTGTTTTACCCTCTTGTCATCAATCCTCAGAGGGACCGTTTCATAGGTGAGATTATCCTTCAACTGAATGTTGTTAGACTGAATGATGTGGGAAGGATCATGAACATACTTTCTGAGTTGGGAAACATAGAAGACACTATAGAGGTTTGAAAGAGATGGAGGTAAAGCAATCTGATAGGCTACATTACCAATTTTCTTAAGAATTTGGTAAAGACCGATGAAACGTGAAGTAAGCTTATGAGATTTCAGTACTCTACCTACTCCAGTTCAAGGAGTGACTTTAAGGAATACATGACCACCTTCTTTAAACTCAAGGTCTTTCCTTCTCTTTTCACTATAGCTCTTTTGTCTACTCTGGGTTGCTCTCATCCTTTCTTGGATCATCCTGACCTGTTTAGTGGTCTGTTGAACGATCTCAGGTCCTAATATGACATTCTCTCTAGGCTCTACCCAACATATGGGGGTCCTACATCTTCTACCATACAAAGCCTCATAGGGTGCCATCCCAAAACTAGAATGGTAGCTATTATTGTAGGTAAACTCTATCAAAGGTAGGAAACTATCCCAACTACCCCCATGCTCTAAGATGCAAGCCCTCAACAAGTCTTCCAAAGATTGTATGGTTCTTTCAGTTTAGCCATCTGTTTGGGGATGGTAGGCTGAGGTCAATCTAAGCTTAATTAGTGCCTAAAGCCGCATGCAAGCTCTCCTAAAATCTAGAGGTGAACCTATAATCTCTATCAGACACTATACTAGTAAGGACACCATGCAATCTCACAATCTCCTCTATGTACAACTTAGTTAATCTCTTTAAAGGGTAGCTAATATTAATGGGAATAAAATGGGCAGATTTAGTCAAGTTATCCACAATGACCCATACGGCATCCAAGTTCTTCACTGTCCTAAGTAACCCAACTACAAAATCTATAGAGATGTTATCCCATTTCCACACAGGCACGTCTAAAGGTTGTAACAAACCGGAAGCTCTTTGGTGTTCTACCTTAGCTTTCTGACATACTAGGCAAGCATACACAAATTTCTCTACTTCCCTCTTCATCTTAGGCCACCAAAACATCTTCTTAAGGTCTTGGTACATCTTAGTGGCTCTTGGATGGATACAAAGTCCTTTCTAATCGAGTCAAGTAGAGAGGTTGAATCAAGGTGTGCAAAGTGTGTTTAGAGTTGGAGTGGATGGAGTGTTGAGATTTAAGCATAGGTTGTGCATTCCTAGTGTGCCTGAGCTTAATAGATAAATCCTAGAAAGGACTTTGTATTGGTGTCATGTGTGTGTAAGGTTGAGGCACACATGTATGAAGCGACTATAGCGGCAGATCGAGCTACACTAATTATAAGTGACCAACCGAGTAAAATACGATGTCATGAACTTAGTTTCTAATCGAGTATCAAAAGACTCTAGTATTTGGAGAATAGTCGGTGAGCTAATCCCATAGGAGGCTTAGTTACGTTAGCTAATGTTGTACTAAGTCTGTACCTAACTGTTCTATCCTGACAGTAGTACTATACTTCCTTGTTTAAGTGGTGACATCCGAGAAATGGAGTTGTTGTGTTGTAGATTTTTATCCAATTTGCTATTGATTTAACAAACATAAAAAGATTACCTTGTATTGTCTGTTCGATAGGGCCAAACCACTTAAATTACTTACCTTGTGTTATAGGAGATCTCCTAGTTAAAATGTATGATGACGCATATAGTTGTTGTGTTGAACATATGATGTGCTGAGTCGATTATGTTGTTCATATGTTATGTTTAATTGTGATGAAATGTGTTGCTATGTTGAATATAAAGTTGTTGTTTTGATCTATGTTGTATATTGTGATGCACTGTTGTTGTGTTGCTGAAGATGAAATGATGATGTGATGTTGTTATGTTGCATATATGTTGTTTCCCTTTTACTCTAACTTACCCTTATGTGTTTCCATATAGTGTGGAATGCGATGATCATACGTGTGGTATGAGAGCATGGCAAGGATAAAATTGGAATGTTGTTGTGGAGGCCACTTAGAGGTGTATGACTTGGAGGATATTTTGTTGACTACTCGATAGTGATAGATTTGTATAGACCATTGTAGTTGCTTAACCGACAACTTAAAATGTATATTTTACATTTACTGAATTAATGTATTTTATATTACACTTATTTATTTAGTTGATTTCCTTTATATGCACGTAGTATAATACATGGTCTAGTATTTGTATGTCTATATTCTTAAGTGAGGTATTTTTCACTACTAGTAACTATGCCGTATAATGTAGGGACCAAATCGAGTACAAAAATCAGTTATAAAAAAATAGTTATAGGTAATAACCACTTAATATATAATTAATTTTTATAAACAATTTTTAAATAACTAATTATTTTAAAACCGATTAATTATAATTATAATCTCTTTTTATAACTGATTATTTTGATGACTCCTGATCCTACCAACTTCATTAGTCTTCCCTTGTTGATAAATGAATGATCTCATGACTGCTTTTAGGTGTTAGTTGTCGTCTATTTTGGCATTAGGCCTTATATTGGTAAAATAATAATAATAATAATAATAATAATAATAATAATAATAATTATTATTATTATTATTATTATTATTATTATTCATGAATTTTTTTGGTATATGTTTTTTTTTGTATATAATATTTAAGGTTAAGCACGAATGTAATAAATAACCAACAAGCATGCCAAGCATTCGTTCATAATTGTAAAAAGGATTGGCCAAATATACTCCACTTGATAAAGATGTAAGTATTGATAGTTGGCTTACCTAGTAAGTTTACCAACTTCGGTACATTGTTTACTTCCCTAATTTTCATTGAAAACAACCATCATTATTGTAATCTCAACATCTATATGCATTGAATTGAACTTGAGATGTCTCACCCTTCATGCAAAATTTATTAATATCATTTTAATAGTTCTAAGGGTGATTTCTTTATACTTAGGAATGGTTTGAACATCAACAACACTCCAAGTCCTTCAACAACATTAAGAAAAGAGAAGACCAAATGGGTGCCTGCATATGAATGCATAATAGTGATCAGTTTAATTACAACTAATAATTAAAAAACATGTTTGAAAAACATAATCATCCTCTCCACCAAAATAAAAGCATAACTATAAAATGTGTTGAACAAGCGAGTTTGCATGTCATGCAAAAGTTTTATTATCTTAATTCGTTTACTCAATTCAGGGCAACAAATATTTATGCCATTAAAAGACAAGACTTGAGTCAAAACATTACCAATTATATTAAATATATACTAGACTGATCAACTTGTTTTGAAAAAGTTAATAATCATTTTCTTAAGAAATTTTTTCTTGAAAGGATACAATTGCTCAAAATTTAAGTGTAACTAACATTGACTTAAAATGTCAAACTTCAAATTACAAAATAAAAATGAATATGCATAAATTAGTTGAACATTAATTGTACCTGGGAGGAAAGAAGCATTTAACCGTTTTTGTGACAATGTTAATCTGCATTGGCCATGAGCAAAATAAGAAAATTGACTATAATTTATAACACATCATTATATTTGTAAAGCATTTGTAATTAATGTATTTTCCTTTGAACAAAATATTTTAGTAAGTTGAATAGAAATTATAGAACATAATTTCCTTTAATTGACATATCTTATTCTTACAATACTAAATTTTTAAATGAGCCAATGAACTTACCAGAAATAGTTAATAATATAGCAATAGTTAATGGGGTTTGGCAAGCATATAATCGTAAAGAATAGTCCCCAAACTAGTAAGGCATAGACACATGGAATATATATAGATATAAATAAATAAATATATATATATATATATATTTATTTATTTATTTATTTATTTACCTTTGATAGAGTCGATCTAATGAGATGTATTGAAGCATGAGTCTATTAACAAAACTAAGAGTAGAAAAGTGTTGTGTGAGTGAACATTATTCCCCACCCTAGAAAGTTTGGAAGGTCTTGGTGCAATTTATGCTTAATAATTGCTACTTTTGCTACTTCAACTTGTTGATTCCATAATAGGTAGTTTTTGTCGTTCAACTTAATGGACAACTAAGTTGTTTGAAGATTCGTAAAAGAATCAATGATATATTGATATGTGGTGTTTTTGCATTGAAATTTTTCTAAAATTAAGTCCTATTCTCCTACATCTTATTACTTTAGCCACCATGTTATTTGAGATCGAGGGAAGATGTGTTTGAAGAATAATCACTACAAATTAATTTTATTAATTCATAGAGATTATTTTCAAACTGATATACATGGTTTGTGAATAATTTGCTAGTAATAAAACCTTAAAGACTTAAGTAAAGTGTTAACTACCAATATTATGTACTAATTATTCCTAGAAATATAAAAGAAATCAAAGTGTATAATACAAAATTTTAGAAAGTCTCATTTTAATATCGATTTGCTATGAAGATTCATAATCTTATTTAGAACCTAACTTATAAGTCAAATTAAAGGTCAAATAATATTGAAGAGATACTCACATTGCACCACCTGCAGTTGGACCAATTACTTTGAATGCTGACATAGCAGTCATAGAAATGCCATTGGCTATTCCCCTTTGATGTTGCTCCTATTTAATTTCCATATAATTATACCATAAATGTTACAATCAAATTATAAAATTAAAAGAATATGGGGAAATTTAAAATTAAAAATAGAACCCAAAACCTTACCACCGCTCTATTTTGTAAAAGCAACAAACCAGTTGAAACTATCTCCTATATGTCAAGCAAAAAAATATGATCAGAAAATTTTAACGAAGATAACATTTTATTTAGTGAATTAAATCGATCAATCGAGATTTAATGAAGCAAACTTAATTATGTTATGCTCTTAATATGATTGATTATGTGTGAAGAGACAGAAAGAGATTTACTTACAATCATCACGTTGTTTAAAATGGAAGCAATACATATTGCTATGTACAGTGAGAAGCCTGACAACATTGTCATGAAGGGGTAGCTTTGCAAGACGGGTATGGATAACACCTATTTATATGATGTCAAATTAATACATATTTGAAAATAAATAATAAAATATTGGATTAATTGAAATTATTGTTAGAAAAAGTGAGAACTAACCGCTGTGATGCGAGTAAGGTTAACAGGACTACAAACTTTTTGTATCGATTGGTATAGTCCAAGTTGAAAGATTATAATAGCAAAACCTAATAAGTTGAAAAGATAATAATTAAGTACCATATATATTAATTAAGTCACAAAAATTGTATGTCTTCATTGTGATGCAAATCATGAGAATAAATTTTATACAGCTAAAGTGTAATCATATTTTATCAATAACTAATGCCCTAAAATAATCAAAATCATTGTTGAAATATTCTTGTGGTCTTAAATTTATGTCATGTTTTAGTTTTAACCCCTATTAAAAATTCATTCATTTTTTAGTCCATTTGTTTAACCAAAATAATGCGTGTTTAGTCTTTTGCTCAAGACTACTAATAACCCGTACAAGATATTAATAGTACATGAATTTATAATATTTTAAGAACTATATATGAATAAAATTTAAATATGTAATTTAAAAACTATTATATTTTCATGAACCATAGATATATTTTAAATTTAAAATGAAAAGTTATGAATCCAAGAATCAAGTGGTGGCAGTTTAAAGGAGATAAATGTTTGACTTTTAAGAATAATTATGGGACAAAGCTAATACAACAAGGTTAACCTCTTTTAAAATGAGATGTCTAAGAAGATTATGAAGGTTCCTAAAGTAGTCTTAAGTAAATCAAAATGATTTGTGCTAATAAATAAGTAACACAAATTGGCAGTGGAATGAAAGAGTTTAAGACAAGGAAAAAACACACACAAAAGTACTTTAAAGTCTTACATAGGGAGTAATAATGTTGAAAAGTATATGAATGTAGGAAATCAGATAAGGAAATCTATGAGTGAAACACAATCTAAATTTTGGCATACTACTATAGAATTAAGGGTGTACAAAGCAGACTGTATTGAAGGGAACTTATAAAAATTAAATTGAAAAAGTGTTTAGGAAAGTTGAAGTAAATTGAAAATCAATTTAAGCATATTGAATTATTTTTTATTTGATTGAACTAAACTGTATTGCACTAGAAAAGTTTAAACTAAATTGTAATGTGAATTAACTAAATTTTACTATAAAAGTTTGAACTAAATTGTAATGTTAACTAGCTAAATTGTTTTGTTGCTTTGAATTGAACTTTTTTCATTCCTTTAATTAAACTGCACTATCCTAATTGTGCTGAACAATTTTATTTGTTCATTCTCATGTTCATTGTCACTTGTTGGGGTTTCAATCTCATTTCGAGTAGTTTGTCGTTGTTGTAAAAATAATTACAATTAGTTCTATGCATTGAACTGTAATTTTATAAGTTTGGTTTGTTAAAACTGAACTATAGATGGTTCAGTTTAGTTTTTTAAGAGCCTCCACAAGCAAAATTGAAAAAATAATTACAATTAGTTCTATGCATTGAACTGTAATTTTATAAGTTTGGTTTGTTAAAACTGAACTATAAGATGGTTCAGTTTAGTTTTCAATCGAAAATAGTTCAGTGTTTTTCAATTTAATTTAGTTTAGTTAACTACCAATTCAGTTTAGTGTTGTTAATTTTGCTCAATCCACTATAGAATTCAAATTTAAGATGTAAATAAATCATTTAATGGACAAAGATGGTAAAGATGTCGGTCTAGATGGTATTCATATTGAAGTTTGAAAGTGTGTAGAAAAACAAGGTATCTTGTAAACAATGGAGGTATTCAGAGTTACACAAACTACATAGATACACAACTAGTTAGTAACATTGTGAAATTATGACAAAATGAGATTAAACATAGATTAAAAAAATAAATGAAGATTGTGAACAATCAAATTGGTTTAGTGCTAGGAAGGTATACTACAAAAGCCTTTTATCTTTTACATGGGCCGATGTAAAGGTACTTAAGAAAACAAATAGACTTATATATGATTTTTATTGACTTAAAAAATTCTTATGACCAAATGTCAAGAGAAGTGTTGTAGAAAACTTTGAAAAATAAAGGTGTTTGCATGAATTATTTAGGTCATACAAGAAAGGTTTTGGTAGGATAACTATTAGTGTGAAAACTTCAAGACAAGAGATTAAGTAATTCACTAAAGTCATAGGATTACATCAAGGCATAGCCTTATGTCCTTATTTTAGAAACTATGTACATTATACAAGCATGATCCCTAAAATGAAATAGACATCAAAGGATTACTTGTAATCATAAATTGTTTATCCTAGCTTAAAAGAAATATTTTATTGTATTATTATAATTTAATTATAATTTTTTGTAATTGTAAAAGTCAAATCTAAAACAAGTATCACATATAAAAATTAAATAAATGTTATAGTAATTTTTTTATTCTATATCTATACATCATAATAATTTCATATTACACCACTAACTCAACTTAGTGATTAAGAATTTGAGTAGTTTGTCGTTGTTGTAAAAAAAAAACACTTCATATTAATCATAAGAGTAATGATATGAAGAAAAAGTAGCATTTAATTAAAAAAATGAATGATTAAAAAATAAATTGATATTTTATATGAAAATCAAAATGAAAATAGGTGTTTTATAGGGATAAAAAGATATAACCAAATCTTCTATTATCTTAAAATTTTGACAAACATACTAAATGATCGATAAAATTAACTAGAAACATCCGAGATCAAGTGAAATGGTCTATGAAAGAAATGAATCAATGTAGATTGTCTTCCATTGCTTGAACTCTATTAAATTTTATCTAGTTTTAAATTCATTTTTTTAATTTGGTCTCTTATTATTTTGTTATTATATCACGGCCTTTTATTTGAATAAAAATATATATTGTGCTAATTTTGTTGATAGTTAGAACTTTCCTCAATATTTTTTAATAGAATGTATTCTAGTTTTATTATTTATATTCCTGTATGCACTTTATATATACTTCATGTTTCAACAAAGACCAATTTAGAGGAAAGGTACGTCTAGTAAAAGTTATCATCTAGTCTCACGTTAATGCATAATTATGTGCTAGAGTTTCACAAATATCAAAAACATACCTGAAATCGCGAGAACATTACCAACTTGATTAGTTGTAAAGTTTAAACCTCCTAATCGTTGAGGACTCACAGCCCATAATGAGAAAACCTAACAAAAATTGTACAATGGTGTTTGCTTTATATATATAGGCAAATGGATGGATATCAAGCTTTAAAATAAGTCATGATTTTTCACAATATTTTTCGATGTTCATTCGCACAGTTCTCTCTCCCTAATTTCGATTACATATCATGTTAGTTTAAGTCCCCAACCTAAGTGTCACTCAAATGCAATAAAAGAAGTATAAAACATTATTAATCCTTGCAAGATAAGATAAATGGATGCACATTTGGACGAATAGATATAGAAAAATGTGAGAAAGTCAAAGTAGTAGCATCTTTAAATAGAAATAATACCTCTGAATAAGCAATGTCATGAAGTGCAAAAATACAATAAATAATGATCGAGGACATTAACGGCCAATTGAGAAAGACACTTTCATTTTTTTGGATCGTCTTGTCCTTGTCAGTCCAACTACTTCCATTTTCTAAAACTTCAATGTTGTTGTCAATTACCACATCGTGGTTATGCAGTGTCTCCTGCAATGTTGTTGCATATATTAAAAGACAATTAATTTCGTTGACAAGAGAGACAATAAAATAAATAAAGTAACGAGATAGAAACCTAAGTTGATCTACAATTGTTAAAAACTCATTCTTTATTAATATTTCTTATTATTTAGTTGAAATTGATGCAAATAATTATTAAAATTTACTAAATAAGAAGCACGACTTATTTAGTTTGTATCACATGAAATTTACGGTATATTCAATATAATGTTAGATAAAATATATGTGGTAGAAAGTATATAGTTTAACTACTAATTTGTTGTTAAAAGAAAGTTAACTAATGGTGGATGATGTACATTTACATGTGTTGCACTTTAAATTTAAGTCCTTATACTTTTATTATTTTATATTTTGACCTCTATACTCCCACAATTTTACCTTAAAGTCTATACACTCAAAAACTACTCATTGCAGTCCTTATACGAGTAATTTTATTTTTTTATTTGAGTTTTTCTATCTTTTGCAACTTTATACAAGTTAACAAACATTAAATTAATACTCACTTTTACCACCTTTTTAATTAAGGGGCATTCAAAAACACAATTTTTCACTCATATATTTAATCTCTCTTCCTACTAAAATGTTATTTTTCCTTAATATAAAACTCATCCCCTTTTCTTAATCGTTCATTCTCTATTTTTGAAAATTTTTGTTCTTTTTGCACTTCCTCACGCCCCTATCACATTCTCTTCTGTTTTTTCTTTTCTTTTTTTTTTCTTTAACTATATTTTTTTAAATCATTTTTTTATGTGTTAAAGTTTAGTTATTTTTTAGTTTAATCTTACTTTTATCTATTAAGTTAACGTACCTGACATTTGATTCTTCCTGTTTTTATTTTAGAGTCGTAACTTAAATTTTTATATGCTAGTGTAGATTTTAGTGTCATCATTTATATTTTTCCTCCTAAACAATAATAATATTGGGTAAAATTGTAGCAGATAACAAATATTTCATGAACTTGTGTGAGACAAGAATGTAATCAATTATCATACATAAAATTTAGATGTATTGTTGTATAAATAAAATATTATGATACCACATGTATTTGTTCTGAACATAAATTAAAAATTAAAAACAAATAAAGTAGTTAAAAGAAAATCCATGACAAAAGCATAAGGTGTAACATTGATAAAGTTGTTTAAATGAAAATAATATTTTTAACTTAATCAACTTATTTAGTTGAATTTATAATATAAATAAAAGAGTTTTTTTAATAAAGTATAAGAGAATAGGTGGTGGGTTAGAGGAGTCCTTGGGTTGGACTCTTGAGTCCAACTTAGAGGCTTATTAAAAATAAGCGAAAAAAAGGAGGTAAAGTTAGTTTGCACGTCCGTTGTGAACCATAAAATACTACAAAGGAAAACATAAAGGAAAACTCCAAAGAGTGCCTAAAGTAGTTAAGAAATTGATAGGGGAGTGTGCCCGTGCCTTAAAGGTTGTAACCTATAGTAAGAAGAGGAGTGAAAATGTCTCACTTATGGGCATGTACAAGAGGCATGAGCATTGAGGCGACCCCTAAACCTTCGTAAGATTAATAATTGTATTCGTTTTGATGTGATTGATATTGCTTGGAGTTGATTGTTGATGTATGAGTATAGATGCCATGAAATTCATGAATCATAGTGTTGATTACTATGTTACATATATTGGGAGTACTACAAAAAATGTTACATAAAATGACATACAAAAAGTGTCACTATAGATATAATATATGTGGTATAAATTTATTTGACATATACCCACACAATTTGAGTGTTGATTTTAAATGAGATTTAATGACACATTTTGTATGTTTAAGACAAATTCAAATGGGTTTGGAGACCTTAAATCCCAAGGTTCAATATTTTGCAAAGTTCAAGATTTGCGACGGTGTCGTTCACACGTTCAAAGTGTTGGGAATGGTGAGTACAATTCTTCACACTAGGCATAGAGAGGGTCACGTTGAACATGAGAGAGATAAGGAAGTTATTCCTAACCTCTTTATATTGGGAGCTCACCTAGCGTGATTTAACATAGACTTTTAAAGGGATGGTTTCAAGCGTGACTAGGATCACACTTACTATAAGAACATCAAAGGGGTCCTTATTCCCTTATCGTTGGGCATAGGAGTAGCCATGTTGGACATGAAAAAGATAGAGAGTTTCTTGATCACTTAGCATTGGGCATGGAAATAGCCACCTTGGGCGTGAACGCAACAAAGAGGCCCTAAACTCTCCGAGTTAGGTGCAAGCCATCCTTGTTGGGTGCCACGTTATTAATGAGAAATAAGAGTAACAATTATATAAAGAGCTTGTGAGATAGTGATATTATTAGAAATTGAAATAAATGACAAAGAAAGAAAATAACCACGAGTAATTAATTAAAAGGAATAAAAGAAATGGAGTGATAATAAGGGAAAATGATGGAAAGGAAGAGAGTATGATGAAAGAAGTCATACTTTTTACAAAAGAATAAGAGATGATGATGATGATGATGATGATGATGATGATGATGATGATGATGATGATGATGATCATGATGATCATGATGAGATGACTAAGTCCAGGTAGAGGTGGATGATGATCATGATGAGATGACTAAGTCCAGGTAGAGGTGGTTGAAATTCTGGCAAACGCTAGAAATCCAGACAGAGAGGTCTGGCAAGTTGATTGTGTGGCACTATAATTGAATTGTTGTTGTGTTGATAATGTTGTGTGAGAGTTCATGTATTAATATTTTTAGCCCTTTACTTATACCATGAGGGTGTTATGGTAGGGAGCTCCTAACAAGTATAAGGGTAACCATGATTAGTTGTAATGCTTCAATTGGATCCTAATAGATCTGCCCTAGTTGAGAGCAGATTGAAAGGGTCACCTAATATGTGGTGATCCAATCCATGTGCTCTTGGCGCTACATTTTATTGGAATGGATTTTGAAGATGTTGGAGATTGGTATCACATTCATATAAAGTTAGGAGCATGAGTTGCATGAGTCTTTAAATAACGATGTGTATGATTTTTGAGCTTAATTCATTGAATGAAATGGGATGAATGTTGAAGACTAGATGACTTGTATAGATATAAATTCTGATAGTATGATGTGTTAAATGTTTCCTTTATACGTTATGTGTGTTGTACATGTGAGTGAGATATATTCTCACTCCTCTTGTGTTTGTTTTGTTGCTTTTCTTGTTTGGGATAAATGTCATGCAAGAGTAGATCATGTATATGAGGTTGAACATACGGGAGATGAAGCTTGATGCTTTTGTTCGATTCATGGGTCTTACTCTAATAATAGTGTGACATCAAGGTTAGGGGACATTATAGCATTTTCTTTATTTATGGGTTAGACTTAGAATAATTTCATGATGTTCTTTGTTATTTTGATGTTTTGTAAAAGGTCGATTTGTGCCTTTGTTTATGAGCTTTTATTTGTTTTTATTTCCTTTTTTGTTTGGAGGATTTTAATTAAAACATATTTACCATTTTTCTTTATGTAATAACAAAGTTTTTTTGCATAATCTTTTCTAATTAAACATATTTTCTTAATGATGTTTCTAATAAATGTTTTTGAGTAGAAAGGTATCACATAAGGAAGTAGTTTAGAAAAGGAGAAAGTTTATAGTGGGAAGAGATATTAAATAGTTTTATATTAAGGAAAAACAAATTTTTATGGGAGGAGAGATTAAATATTAGAGAGAATTTTGGTATTTTTCAAGGTCTTTTAATTGAAAAGTTGGTAAAAATAAGTATTTAATGCTTCTTAGCATGTGAAAAGCAGCACAAGATAGACAAACCCTTTTTATTTTTATGTTTAGTCCATATTAACATATTTTCATTTTATTTTGTGGGTTCTCCTTTTATTACATTAGCTAATTCAATTTGACCTTAAGATAATATAGGGTGTAGATGCACTTAGGGGTGTAAGTGAGTTGGGTTGGATTTTGTTTGGATAAACTCATTACCCGACCCGATCAAAATTTAATGAGTTGAGTTGGGTTGGATTTATGCAATTTTTTTTAAAACCCAATTCAACCCAACCCAATGACGAACGGGTTGGGTTGGATTGGATTAATCAGGTTAGCATAATTATATTTATTTATTTTTGTAAAAATTTAAATATTTTAAAATAGATGTAAATCATTTGATACATTATTGCAAATTCTATGTTATCAACTTATAAAGCAAACAATGATGCAAATTAAATTTTAAAATAAATTTATTAATTTGTTACATTATTATTATCAACTCAAAAAACCATAATTAAGAACACCATAATTAAGTGTGTTTGACATGAAGGAATTTAGGGATATGTGACATTTTGGAAAGTTTTCAAGAAAACGTTTGGATGGAGACCAAACACGTTGAAAAGTCTTGTATTGGTTTGTGAGCAGTTGTTGGTTTTATAAGCAGTTGGACATCTTAGAAAAAACTACTCATGAATGGTTATGAATGATGAAGGATTCTAATATTTAACAAGGAATTGTGCGAAATATCGTCATATGAAGTATCGTGGAATCCATTTGTTGAGACTTCACGAGTGTTACAAATGGGATTGGAGCAAATCCTCTCTCCTAATACAATGTGGTTCGTGAATGAACTAAGCAAAAGGTGGTGGGCTTGTAGCCCGGGCACACCAGAACAAGAAGGGTCCAAGATATTTATAGTAGTGAGACTATGCTGTTGATGATGACTTGAATTAATTAGTACTACATATACTAACAAGATGCATCTACTTTTCGGTAGTTCATCACTTAAGAATTTCATAGATAAACATGCTTGACTCGGAGTAATTTAGAAATGCGTGACCTTTTGAGAAATTTCAAAAAGTGTGTGAGTAAGGACAAAGTACATTGAAAAATCTTATGTTAATTTGTAGGAATAATTATTGATCCTAAAGATAGTTGGACATCTTAGAAAGGGCCACACATGGAGAGTTTCGATTGACAAAAGGTTTTGATTAATCAGAAGTTGTGTAAAGTGTCATAGAGTGTAGTCACTAAAACATTATATTTGTGGGGTGTTACACTAAACTAATATGAACAAGGTAAAACTACTAATAAATAAATAAATAATATTTTTAACTATTAAAGCACTAGAAATTTGAAAACAAAAATGGTTTTGCTACACATTACTACTTGATGAGATCTTTGGTTCCAATGTGTGGCAGATACATTATATGATATAGAAAGCAAATTAAATGAAAGCTTTCACATTTTTAGATATAATATATAATAAGATTAACATGATTTAGAAGTCCTTGCATTGCAAGGATTTTCAACATAAATTGTTACTTGGAGGTTATCTCATCTTGACTAAAAAAGCATATCAAAACTTTAAATCCTAAACCTCACAAAATAAAAGAGGTAAAAAGTGTTGGATAAATTAAGAAAATAAGGAAACAAAAGAGAGATAAGAAGGAGGAGGAAGAAAAAGGAGAAGGAATTGATAGAAATATGGAAAACCTAAAAAAAATTGCTCATATAGAAATTAAAATGAGTAGTTTTTAAATAGGGGCCGAAAGATAAAAGTTAAATTAATATAGGTCTACAATATAAAAATATTAAAATTTAGAGATCAAAACATAAACCGTAACATATGTCAGTGTTATGTCAGCAGTATGCTAACATCATCTGGAACAATGCTAATTTTTTAACAGTAATAGTACTAAAAAGAACTTAAAGACTTGAAAAAATAAAGTTTGTACAATTAATTATCATGGATGAAACAAGTAGCAAACCAAAATATATTCTATTATTTCTCATAAAAAAAAAATGGTACTATGTCATGCCACCATAATTATGAAATTAACAGAAGTCTCAATAAATAAATAATTTGAAAGAAAATTTTTATAAACTGAATAGATAGTTTAGCTGAACATACATACCGGAAGCCAAATGCAGGCGATGGCTACTAAAATTGCAACAGCTGATATTGCGAAACAGGGCAAGAAATAGGGAAACCTACAAGGATATTTATATATGTTGACAAATGAAATTAATTATGAACAAAGATGAACATTAAAGATTTGTTACTATAATTCAAAAGATTTGTTACAAGAATTCACAGTTATATAACTTAATAATTTTCTAAAAATATCAATAGTTGAATTGTAAGTTTTTATAAAGTATACGAACTTTATTAAATTTCATGCAAATACAACATTAGCCCATTTTCTTGAAGCTTGACATCCCTCATAACATGATCCAACCATATTCCAAACCTCTTGTGGGGTTCGCAGGTGAGCGAGTTCATACTCGTGGTTTCATTGAACTATTAACCTCTTTTGGTACAACTTAAACTTTCATGTCTCCTCTTTTTCCCCCTTTTATATGTTATGATTTATAACAAGGGGTCATTTACTGCCACAAATTGGCTTAAGCTATTTCTAATCGGCTCAAGCCCTTTTTTAAATACTTAACCATGAAGGAATTGAAATGGATTAAGCCTTTCTGAAATAGCTTAAGCCTTTTTTAAATACTTCACCCTGAAGGAATTGAGATAGCTTAAGCCTTTCTGGAATGGCTTAAGCCTTTTTTTGGCAGATTGTAATCTTAATTTCTCTGGAATGGCTTAAGCCCTTCTGATATAGCTTAAGCCTTGTTGAATTGATAGAGATAAACATATTTTCTTCCATGAGTCTTTGTGAACTTCATTTCTTCTCTCTGTCTTGATTTCTCTTCTCTTAACCTACAAAGCAAAACCATCATAATTAACCAAAAAATTACTATAATTTGATTGGATTGGATTTCTATAACATAATTTACATATTTATATATAATATTCACATCCTTGGGCAATTTAAAAGGCGAAAAATGAAAGCATGCCAATTTTTACACAATAATATTCATGAAATTCAAGTAAAAATGACAACTAACAGTTACTCAGATCAACCTTTACACGAATGATGACGCCATCATGTGCCGTGTATTTCCAACATCACTCAAGGGAGCCGCTCTTAGTTGGTACACACAATTACCACTCAGATCGGTAGACAGTTTTTATACTCTGGTCTGTCTTTTCTTTGCCCAATACGCCACTAGCAGGCCTCATCATATCACCTCTACAGCGTTATCTAACTTGCGGCAACAAGATGATGAATCTCTCAGGCATTTTATGGAACGTTTTGCCAATGTCTCCATCAAAATCTGAAATCTAAACCCAGAGGTCGCCCTCCATTCCATGCTGATGGCACTCAAACCTGGACCCTTTGTTGACAGCCTGTGCCGACACCAGCTAGCTAGTATGGACGACCTGAGAGCACGCATCGCCGGATACATACAAATGGAAGAACATGCTGAATTCCGTAACACTATCCGAGATGGTCTCACTATCAAGGGAGAATCCAGTAACAGGGAGAAGCAAAAGAATCATTTCGATCAAAGATCCAAAAGACCTTGTCAAGCACGAGGCCCCAGGTATGATTTTTATACACCCCTTAATGCTCCTCGAGTCAATATTTTGGAGGAAGCTAACCATGTAGATCTAATCTCCCTGCCCCCTCCGGCCTACAACTCGGCTAATGCCGACAAGAGCAAACATTGCCGATATCACAGAAATCATGGGCACACAACGGAGGAATGTTGGAGCCTCAAAGACAAAATTGAAGAATTTATTCAGGCTGGTCACCTTGGACAATACATCCAACGAAGTCAAGCTTCTCGCGGAGGTTTCTTAGGACGCGGTAGAGGACGAGGTCGGTATTCAAACCAATATCAAGGACGATACTAAGGTCACCAAGGTCGATCTGAGCAAGGCAACATATATATATATATATATATATATTACTAGATAATCAACTAACAAATGTAAATTTTGCTATATATCATCATAAAAATAATATCAAATTATTCAGTATTTCAATTGATTAGTTTCGACATTTGTAAAAAAGAAATTACTAAGATCTATAATTGTAAAAGTTTGATACCTACAGATAGATAATATCACAAAAATATATACTTACCTTTCCCAAAAGGAGCCCTTTGAAAATAAATATGGGTATTTTTCTACTGGCTGAAAAAGAAATTCATAAAATATTAGAGAAACAAGTTAGATGATATGTTGAATATATATACATAGTAGCACTACAACACTAATGATATTTAGCAACATTTAAACAATGTTATTTAATTATGTATAAATACTGCTAATTTGTTTTAAAAACATATTATCAAATGTTGTATATAGTCAATATTATTAAAGACTTTTAGTAACATTTTTTGCATAATTAAGTAACATTTTTTAAATGTTATCAAAGTAGTATTTTTATAATATTTTAATAATTTTTTGTAACATTTTAATGATGTTGTCAAGATTTTGTTAATCTTATAAAATAATAATTAATTTTAATTTAAATATTACTATCAATTATTATATTTTTATGTCTCCTAAACTAAACTTCTAGGAGTTCCTTAAGTTTTTAGGAAAAGAAATTTTTAGCTAGTCACCACTAATTATATATAGAATATCAAATTTCATTTATCTTAAATATAACTATACGAGTATATATACTCTTTATGAGTCATTAATCTATTTGATGTGAAACTTTAATTATGGGTTATAATTAGATATAAGAGAAATATTTTTTTTTGACTCGGTGTGAGACTTTAATTTTAGAAGCAATTATAGTAACATTTTTAAAAAAAATGTTGCAAAATAACTTATGTAAATTTTTTTTACTCGATATGGGACTTTGATTTTGAAAACAATTGGAAAGAATAATATTGAAATAAAAAATGTTACTCTATCTATAATGACATTTTTTTAAAAAGTATTACAAAATAACATTTATATAATATATAGTAATATTTTAACAAATATAAATAAGAAAATGTTGTTAAAGGATTAAAATCTAGTAGTATAGGATAAATGTTTCTAAAATTTATCCTTTTCTTTTTCTAATTTTGTATCTCAAACTATATATTTTCGGGGACATATGCATGGTAACTAATAAATCATTTTGTCCTTTGTAAAAATTCTTGTTTTTTTTTTAATATATTTCACCTTGGGAAGGAACAAATAGAAAACAAAAGTACCTGAGCCAAATAACCTCCCAGTGCTGGGCCAAAGACTAATCCTACTCCCCATGCAGCACAAACCTGAAATCATATATAAGTCTACAAATTATTTTGATGAATATAGGTGTGTCCTTTCAAGAGATGATAGTGATGAAGTTAAACTTACGGTTGAGAGTCCTAGAGCTTGATATTCTTCTCGAAATATTTCAGAAGCATAGGCCTGTTAAATATTAATTAATAAAGAAAATCATGGCATACCCTTACCTAAAGTTCACCAATTGGAACTTGCATCTTTTATTGGTACCTACCTTTATTGGTCCCAGTATACCATTAAAAATTCCAAGAAGAAATCTTGTAATAACAGCCATCCAAAAATTAGTGCTAAGGCCAAACAGTGCGTTGAAAATGATGCTGAAATCAAATAAGCATCATTGTTGTTATTAGGAAATACAGTAGAATACTTTTTCCTTCTAATAATGATTGTATACAGATTAAAAATAGTAATAAATATATTATTTTTTTCATACAATTTTATTCTTTTAATAAATACATCATTTTTAATTGTTGTGTTTGAATAATTTATAAAAAAAATAAATAAAAATATAATTAATATAACATTTAAAAAGTGAAAATATAAATTATTTTATACTATTTTTTCAATGTTAAAGGTCTGGTGAATTAGTGGGAAGAAATATATAGCATAAAAGAAAGCATCTATCTCATTGACATAATACTTACACAGAGAAAGTCCCTATAATCACAACTGGTTTCCTACCATAACGATCAGCTACTATTCCCCAGAATATAGATGTCACACATCTACCAAGCATGAATGCAGATCCTGCAACATTTTTGCAGTCATTAATATATATATGGAGTAATGGTGATGATAAAACACACTAAAGAGTAGAAATACGCAAAATAATCTTACCCACATAACCAGCATAGGAACTGATATCTTCCTCACTTTCTGCAATATTAAAATCCTTCACCTGAAAAGTGATTATTCATTATATATGTTGACCTTAAATTTTGCATCATGAGTATTTGATGCATATTCGGTGGAACAGAAATAGAGGGAAATCATGAGCCAATATTTCTTTACACTACTATGTTTAATATTTTTAATCACATTTATATATACATACATTTATTAAAATATTATTATAGATAAATTAAGTTAATAAGTTATTATGATTTTTTTTCTCATAAATATCACTTAGAGTAATTTTTTTTATTTAAATATTATTCTTTATAATTATTTTTAAAAAAATTAAATTTCATATCAAGTAAAAAAATGATATATGAAGAACATATTTTCTAATATCTAATTATTTTTTAAAATTAAATTCTCACATCGAATAAAATAATAACATATAAAAAGTATATATAACCATAGAATGAAATTTAAGATAAATAAACTTTAATATGTGATATATATTTAATAATGACTTATTTAGGATATTTTATTGTAAAAAAAAAAACTGTCATATATATATATATGATTTTGTCTAATGCAAAAATTATTCCTTGGCCTCTAAGAGAAAGATAGCATAAATGTCTTTAGTTGTTGACATCCATATGTTTTTTTTTTTTTTACACATTTATAGGGAAGGTAATCAATGTGCTAATCAGCTGGATGCCCTTAGCCTTTTCTTTTAGAGTTTATTTTGTCTGGGTATTCTTCCTATTTGTTCAAGGGGTGTTTTTTTTTTTTTTTTTTTTAAAGAATCGTTGTAATTCACCTTTCTTTCATTTTTGCTAATTTCTCTTATGGGTCTTAGTCTAGTCCCCTACTTTTGTCCTTTTTTATTTTCTGATTAAATTTTATTGTGCATACTACAAATGATTAATAGTCTTTGGGATATCACCATTGTTTATACCTAAGTGATGTTTTTGCATGACTCACCTTTTATTTTAAAAAGTCTTCAACCTTAATAGAATTGTGGACAAAAAGTCATAATTAATGTATAAGTGATAGTATATTTTTTTATTAGTATTACTTATTATTTTATAAAGTTTACAAAACTTAGCCCATTATTAAAATGTTACAAAATATCACTTTAATAATATCTTTAAGAATGTTGTTATTAATATGTAAAATGTTGCTAATTTTTTTTAAGTAAAATAAGTCTTATCTTATATTTGATAAAATATCACAAAAGTATATTACAAATATTATTTAATCATATTTTAGCAACATTTTTCTAATATATCTATAAACACATTTTATTTAATTTAGTGATTAATATTTCATGACAAGTAAAACAATTAAAAGTTGGTATCAACTTCTTCAATTATCTACTAAAATAGAGTATATGAATTTTGGAATTATACAATAAGAGAGATCAAATTCCTATGAGAGTAATTCTTGATAAAGTTACTTTTTCTTAATAATTCATGATATTTGTTAAATTTCAATAATCTAACCATTAAATTAAAAGTTCTTAATATATAGATCAAATCAATTTACAAATTTTTTAAAATTTTTAAAATAAATAATAT